TATGATGTAAGAAGAGCAGTAGTTTGGCAGAAGTGAGACAAACCTGTTAAGATCCTCAATCTGAGTCATATTTCTTGAACACATAGACCAGTTAAAGCCAGTAATGACACTCTGATCTACTCTTAATGCAGTAGGATATATTGACAGAAATATTCTCTTCTTTAAGAGCAGATGCTTATCAGCAAAGAAAAGTGAACCTGAGATCAGCCAACCTCATGTCCATATGAAATCCATAAGACACAGCAGAGTAGAGGCTGGCGTACGCTCACTGAATGCTTCTGACTGTAATTTACCAAGCTGAATTACTCTCATAGTTATTGGAAAGCATTTTGCATTTGCGGCCGCTGCATCAGACAGCGTGGTTACAGCACGTCCGGTCGATATCCGGACCATAAAGCAGACGCCACGGTCACAGGAATTAACGTGCTCGTGTCTATAAACCATCTAGAAACATAAACATAAACGGAAATCCGTTCTGCAACCGCAAGAGATAAAAATGACTGCCACCATTACCAGTCTATATTACACTTCCAGAAAGTTTAGGTACACTCAGGATGTAGTATTAATTTGTTTGGGAAATGCTTACTGCTCTGTACTGTAATAGGGCTCAGGGGAGGGGATGAGATCTAAGGCCAAACCATAAGGAAGGAGGGCGAGCATCAGCAGCAGCAGCAGCTTAATGATGCTCTGGTAATGGAGCACACGCAGGTCACTTAGAAGGAGAACTCACTCCGGCAGGCAAAAACACACTTTGCACACTCTAGTGCACTAACACAGAAGCAAATGGGACGACCCGGTATGTACGTGCAAAGTATTTGTATGTAGACAAACTAAAAAAGAAAAGTGAATGCCTAAAATATGCAGGCCAAACAAAGGAGCACGCAAAGGGACGAGTAAAACAATAACTGAACCTGCAGAGATCAAATTGAAACAGGTAGGGCAGGAAATTAATCAATAATATATCAAATGAAATAGGACTCGATAGTCTTAGATTTCTGATATCGTTTTTATATCATATAATACAATTATCTTTTCCTGGTTTTAAAGCATTTAAATCAGAATCGTAATACTTTATTTAGGGGAAATGAAGTTTTGTGACAGTTGTTCTGTTTAAGAATAAAATATAAAATACAAAGATACAATAATATAGAAATATTAATTGTGCAGAATTGTGCAATAACATTATAGGATACAATAGAATTCTAATTACATTTAAAGTAAAAATGTGCAAATTGTACTACAATATATAACACTAAATATGTAAGAATATGTATCAGAGTTCCCGTTAGAATATTTTTTTGCCGGTCAACATGTCCGTTAAAGTTGAAATCTTCCGGACAAAATTAGATAAGTGCCGGTTAAAGGTCTTCTTTGTTATTTATTGAGCTTTAAAACAAATTGATATGATTCGACATTAAACAAACTAATTATAGTAGATTAACTACATTATTCAAAAGTGTACAGTAATTTACAAAAACGCGGGAATAATAAACGGAGCGCTCTCTCCTTCTCCTGACAGCCCGTCAGTATCATGCAGCTCGCGGATCCAGTAATGAGTGACCCGACAGTAAAACTAAACATATCTATAACTAGTTTAGGTAGTTTGAGAGGTAATTAAAATAGCTACGTGTGATTTTCTAACCTGAAGTGTGTTTTGCTCTGCTCGCCGCTGCAGGGGATCATGCAGAGCTGCGTGTCGACTCGTCAGCAGCAGCCGATGTCTCTCTCCTGTCAGATTAGACTTTACTCGCATTTATGTCCATATCGATCAGATCTAGCTAGTTCTAGCTAATGATATGACTACCTGCTTGTTAAAAGACACCTAAACAATAAGCGTCGCTATGCAACCGGATGAGGCCACAAAGTATAGCGCAGCATTATGCATTTGTTTACATGCCCACCGGAACCCCGAGGCATTACCAACAGATCAACGCACAATCAACCCATACAGGACATCTCTTTCTCCACATTAAGTGTTAGACATTAGAATTGACAATTTTTGTCTGTCACATACTCTTTTGTCTGTCACATACTATTCTTGTCTGTCACATAAGTGGCGCAACTGATGCGGTATTGCGCTAAGGGAAAATTATTTTGACCGGACATTTTGACCGGAGAGATTTAGATTTGCCGGACTTCAGCATATTTTACCGGTCATTGTCCGGTAATTACCGGCTAACGGGAACTCTGATATGTATATTACAATAAATACAGTTGTGCATAAGTATTTATAAATATATTAATAATGATTATTTCTCATAGTAAAATGAGCAAATGTTCTGAATACCAGCCTTTTCCAGCTGTTCTTTTATTTGCCTTTACCCACCTTGTCATAATCTCCCTACAACTAATGATGATATCAAAAATGCCATTGTGTGAATATGTAATGAAAGCACCAAAAGTTAACTACAATGTTGTTGCAATATCGATATTGGGTTAATTGATTTTCTTCATATGGCCCATCCCTAGATGAAATTAGTAATTTTGATAAATGTGGTACATTTACATCATAATAAAGTCAACTAATGGGCTCGTTCATACAGTAAATAAACCACGGCCATACACACATACAGGCAGACAGTCTGTTCACTCCCAAGGACTGCTCACTCCCAGTGCACCAAAGCTTTTAACTGCAATGGTTTTTAATGTGTTTTAATGTCTCTGAGATGTTTAACTGTAAGGCCGTCATTTCACTAAGTAGACTGCTGCACTGCGCACAGAAGGGATGGGCAGAGGTTTCACTCACTGACAGTAAACTAATCTAAATAATTCAGAGGCAGAAATTAACATTTCATTCATTTGTTATTTATCAATTACTGTTTCAGGGTTGCGATCCTAGGACTATTTGTGTGTGTATCTCTGTGTGTGCATAGAGGGATAATGGAAAAATGAGAGTGTTGGAGATGGAGTTACAGCAAGATTGGATTCATCAGACTCCATATCTATGCTGAATCTGATTTGTAATATCATTTCCACGCTATTCACAAAAAAAGCTACTTAGAAAACCTAACAGGTTATGGTTGAAAATAATTTTGAAAGGACTTTTTAATTACAAGTTATAATATTTCAAATGTATCTGCATCAGAAGGAGTGTGATGCAAAAAGACATATACATCTCTTGAAATAAAATGAACCATATCTATAAAAAAACTGGATAACAGACATTTTGTGGAATGAATACTAACAAACAATAGAGACAGGTGCAACTTGATGAATAGACAACTTCATCACTCGGGGGTCTATCATTAATGTGAGTCTACCTCCCTCTACTGGCCGTTTGATTGTATTACAGAAAGCGCCAATAACACAAATTAAACCTTATCTTTTATTTATTTAAGCTGATAAATTAAACGCATTCAATTGCATATTTTGAATCTCACTTTTTTGTCTAAACGAAAAGAAAAAGTAATGGTTTTAAGTAATGGTTTTAATTGTTGGTTGTGCATCTCTCTTGCAAGTTAATAGAGAAAGGCACAGACATGTTTAGTGGACAATGTTTTAATTTTCTGTACACCAAAAATAGAGAGGCGTGCTGAAATGCAATAATAATACTGTTGTAACAACTTACTTCTGCCTTATGTGTTATAACAGAATTGTATATGAAGTCCTGTTACCTACTTTTAATGTGTGCAATCAAAATGAGTACACTTCAAGTCATATAGGCTATATGATATAGCCTCTGTTTGTGCTACATGTATGCTAACCATAGCCTGTATACATGCTAACTTACATTTGCTATAACATGAGAGGCACAAGCTAGGGCTACTAAGCTCAAGTGGATAAAACACAGCTTTGTGAAGGAAGCTAATAACCGTATAGAGTATTTGCAAATGAAATAATGATATTGTAACTTTTCTGAAGTCATATTTTGTTGAATTTTGTTTTGGGCTTACCTCAAGTGTTAGCAGTTACCAGGACCCCAAATAGCAGCCGGTCAGGTTCCTTCAAGGTTTACTGTTGACCTCAGTCCGTACACAAGAACAACATAACAACAAGGAATTTACATAAGCAGACAGTTCGGAGTGTAGCCAGTAAACAGTTCTAGCAATGGCTCCCAGCTAACTTTCTCCAAATGACAGCTCAAAAAACCCGCGAAAAATGCGCTCACCTTCTTCTTACCATGATTCTTACACACCTGGTTCCTGCTCATCCAATTAATTGATTAGCCCCGCCTCTACCTGCGCGCTATTGGTCAATCTGACACAGCCTACCAGACGGCCAAACATTCAGTGATTTAAATTAGGATACGCTTAGACGTGAACTGATATTTTAAATCCAATGTAGTGTTTTTATTTTATGTAATCTACTTCATAGCTGTTTGCATTGTCCCATGAAAAATTAAAGCAAGAGAAATGTAAACAAGGATGTCAATTTCCAGACATACCTAGTCTTGCATCAGTGGTCAAATGTATCCAAGTACATCTATTAAAGAAGTACTGTGCTTTAGTACAATTTATATGAATTAGTGATTTCCTTTTTCTGCTACTTCATACTTCTACTCCATTAGCCTAGCCTGCATCACAGATATAAATATTGTGCTTTTCACTGTACCGCATACTTAATGCTATAGTTAGCAGTTAGAGTAGGCATACCACAGGCATGACGGACATGATAACAATGCATTATTTATTATGTGTATGTATGTGAATTTGTATTTTATGTTAGGTAAAAAATACACACAACTATCCAACAGCATATAAAAGAGTAAAAGTGTGCTCTAACAGAAACACGGTTATTATTGATAAATGTAGTAGCAATATATGACGGTAAAATAAATGCAGGTGACATTTTCCAGCATCATGAATACTTTATAAAGTTTGGTACTATTCTCAGTGAAGGACTTTGACAACAGTAAGTTAAATATATCAATACATGTTCCACTACTGCTAATAATGAGTGTCTGTGTCTTCTGCAGTTATAGATATGCTTTGTAAATGACATTACATTGCCCTCACTCACCATCACAAAACACCAATTCAGAAATGCAACACAAGACACCATTTTCAGTTGAATTAAAACAGCTTTATTAGTGTACACTGTAAGAAGTTGTCTGTATATGTAGAATAGTTGGAAAGCTATGAAGATAGTCATCAGTGTTTGAAGAAGACAGAAATCCTAAGGGCTTGTGTTCTAATGGAAAAATGCTCCGTTGATAGCAAGAAAAAGAAAAAGCATGTATGGTCAAATAAAAGTACAACTTTACAATAACATCACCAGTGACATGTAGAAACTTCACTTTCTCCAAAAAGCCACATTGTCATTATGAAATTCATAAGAAAGAGGCTTGTTTGGGGATACACAATTGTCATCACAATAAGAAAAGAAAAATACAATATGTTACCTGTAAATAGGAATGTGAACCTTTGATGTAGTCTAAATGAAACCTTATCTCCAAAACAGAACTCTCAGAAAGAGAGAAAATCTTGTTTGTTTTAGGGTGAAATGTTGGGTGGCACTCATTTGAAGAAAACAAAAAAAAGTTGATACAAAGGCTTTTACTGGACCCTGGCAATATGCATAAAACGGCGTGTCTAGCCATCAGAAAATACAAATTACAGAGGAATGTGTTTGAATACACACTCCGAACATTAAGGTCACTGCATAGAACAAACATGTGGGTTAGCAATGATAAGACAACCTTAAAGATAACACTGTTTTGTCTTTGTATGTGTACAGACCTCTGCTAATTCCAGTTATCTCGAATAAGTGAAAAAAATGAAAAACAGACCAGCAAAAGACAGGAAAGGACAGACAGAACATTACATCATTTAATTTGGCTGCTCTCATTCTGGCTACAAGTGACTATAACAAATAAGCTTGATGAATGAAGAAAACGGTTTTCCTAAAGAAGCATTTGCAGAAAGGTGTTCAATCTATCCGTTTGGTCCAAGTGCTTATGTTCTGTAGGAGTGGATGTCATCTCAAATCCATATCTAGCATCATAAAGTTTCTGCAGGATGCTGACAAATGGAACGATTAAACACCAGGATTCTTATTCCAGTCATTGAATGATCAAATACACTACAGCATTTTTTTATAATCTACATTTCTCCCACATGTTGCAGTAGTGAGAAATGAAATTTAAAAAAAAATGGGAATCTGTGCACATTGGCAATACTTTGCAGTGAACTTAGACCACTGTTGTTGTGTAATCTGGACTGTGACAGTATGCACCAAGATTTTGGGGGCAAAGCACACTCACAATCCCTTTTTTCATGCTAAATATCTGCTAATGTATCCGGATACAGTTGAAAAATTAACTTTGCGCAAAATCAGCCGTAAATGGGATTTTGAACATGAGAATGAACATGTGGAAATTGGCAGCAGCTTTCACACTGTGTACTGAAATGTCCTGTGTTGCTAAAGTAGATCAATTCAACACATTTACCTTCCAAAGTCAGAGCTTTTATACTGGGAAATAATACTGCATAGTAGCTGCTGGAATAAATCCTAATTAAAACCATACAAAAAAAAAAGGCTGAATTTTTGTTTGTATGGCTTTGAACAAAGGTATCGACTTGTAACTCACCATTTTGACCAACCCCAAAAGGGAATTGGCCAGTTTAAATATTAAGATCAAGCTGGTAAAGTTCAAAATTGGAGCTATGTGTTTTTCATTACCGATGAGGTTTAGTGGATAAGCAGTGTAATGGAAAAATTGTAAATACATAAATTTAGTCTTTGGGACAGCACTGTCGTAATTTGGGAAAGACATAAAGTAAAGGCAAGAAATCAACCTTTTTTAACCAGTTCTAACAGGCGATTACTACAAAATCGACCAATTACTTTCGCCATTTTAGCAGCCGAATGGTTTTGAGGGAAAAAAATTGATTGTACTGATGATGACTGGGCCTCTCAGTCACAACATTGTGGTAAATACAGTGAACGTGTTACATCCTATGCTACATACTTCGTCAGCAAGCTGTGATCATTTCAAACTGAGGGCATATTCTAAAAAAATATTGAATTCTAATAAAAGGGAAGAAAGCTTTGAAGATTTTAAATATATTCATATATAAAAAATACATGAAATACAAAAAAGTAGTTAAAGAATGTGTCAAGAAAATAATAGCTGTGCAGTACAACTAACTTGTCAAATACTTAAAGCTTATACGATTTGGACTCTAAAATACCCATGGAGCTGGCTTTTTAAAATCGGGGCGAGACATTTTAATAGAATCAAATTAATTCTCTTTAATAATCAAATAACAATATACGGGGAGAAACTCTTAAAAGGGAACATTCTTAAAATATGGTAGATATCTTTAGTAATTGTCAATTGGGCTTTTTTTACACATTCCCATCTGTGCAAAGCATATCTTGCTGTATTTGACAGCAAAAGGCAACTTTCAAATGTGCATAATTTGGGGCAGTGCAAGTACAGTAAAGGGGCGTCCATTTTTTAAATCCCACACTGCAGGGCTTATATTCGTATCGTCTAAAATAATGGAATCAATCCAAGGAAGACTCGGGCGATGTCTACATCAGTGAAACCTAAGTGAAGGGATTTATTTTCATTTTTAGACAGCAGGGGGCGACATTGTCCTAGTTTCCAAATCCAACATACATCTCTCTCATAAACAAGATGAAATCATTGTAATGGTGGAAACAAAGAACATTTTGGGCCTCAACTACCAGAAGGGGGCAAACTCCGTAGATATTACCGGCTGAAATTAAGTTCAAAGATTGTATGAAGTTCAAGAGAAGGGACACGCCCTAAGAACCTATTATTTTACACATTCCTGTCATCAATGCCGACTCGCAACCGTTTCAACTCTGATCCAAACATCTCCTCCACGGCACACTTTAATAGGACCATTCACACACAGACGTAAGCAAACGATCTGTCGTTGTGTCAAAAGAGAGCAAATAAAAGTGGTGTCCGTATGTGTTGCAGTGCATAATGTGTGTGCATTGAACATGTGAAGAGAGTATGTCGTACTAATAAAGACTTCATCGTGCTCCCTCACCACTTTCAGAGCTGAAGGTCTGTGATCACGACAACATGGGATTGATAAGGAGAAAAGCAGGAAGTTCTAGAGTACAAACTGGAATAGAAGTTTGGTCACCGAGAATTAAACCCTGGAATAAGCGCTTGATCGCCGAGAATAAAACGTAAGGTGTTGGAGCGGACTTTGGTTGAATGTGAGCTTTGAGTGGCAGTACTACTGTTGTGTAAACAGAGGTCTTAATGCTGAATCCAAGTTGTGCTGTCGTCGCTAGGTAGTGAAGCTGTAAGGTGGTCTAGTGGTGGTACAGACTGCCCCTGAAGCTAGAAGATCACATGTTGAAAATCCAAAACAGCTGCTGCGGGACAGTAAAGCTCTTTCTGGATCAGAGCCTCAGTCAAATCCCAAAAATATGAACGGTCCAATATGACATCACTCTTGTCTATTTGATATTGCAGGGAGACTTCAATTATTAGGTCCATAATTACTGGAATGTAATCCTTACATGAATCCATCAGAGCCAAAGGTGACCGGGCCCATTGTGACATCATTGTTCCACTATTGGCGATGTCATCATCCCAACATCCAGGTCCGTTGTGTAATCCTTTTGTTTTTCTAAATGTTGGTGCGTCAGTTCAAATGTTGTGAAATGTCAGATGGGTTTGGCCCCCCGTTTAGGACATACTGGAGCAGCGCACTGACGGGGAGCCCATCTGGGTCAGGACCTTATCTAACCACTGGAGGGGGCCGTTGAGATGCAGCTCGATCCAACAGGGAGTGCTGGTGACCGTCTGGCGTCTGCAGGGGAAAATACATAATAAGGGTGAAGTGAAATCACACATTGTTACAGCATGTGATGAATTATGGGCCTTTCATGATTAGAATGTTAATAACAGCACAAGCAGCATTTGTACAACAAACTGAGGAATGCAAAAGAGATTTTACACATGCAGAGTAGATGGGACCAAAATACGGAGTGCGGACTGGAACTAGAGAGGAGCCAGTTCGGGCCACTGTCGAGGTGCCCTTGAGCAAGGCACCGAACCCCAAACTGCTCACTGACGCCGGCTAGACGGGCTGCCTCTCCGCTCTGGATCCTCTCAACTGCATGTGCATGTGTGAATATAACCAGGGGTGCACATAACTGGTATGCAGGTACGCATGCGCTGCAACAATCTGAAATGCGTACCGTCACTTGTGTCACAAAGCGCATTTGCGTACCGACGTAAATGTGAAGCTTTTCCAGAAGGCGGTTAGTTCACCGGACGACAGAGTCGCTCTCCGTGTGCACAGACAGGGCTGCTGTTAACGTCGGTCTGTACAGCAGTCCTGCGCTAAAACAGCTGATCACAACGTTCACACGCGCCGCGGTCACGAAGCTCTGTACTCCACTACCCCCCCCCCCCCCCGTTGACAATCGCGAAGCGTTGTACTCCACTGACGCCGCTCCAGAAGTTGGAGTACCAAACACTGACTCCAGACTGACTCATCTGAGTACCTCACTGAGAAAGTTGTGTGCACCCCTGAATATAACTGTATTTGTACAACAAAAAGTGCATGTGTGCACGATTATAACTGTGTGTATTTGTATGTACCTGACCTGTATAATAATGCATGTGCATGTATATAAACAGAGTGGAAAACTGAATTTCCCCCTCGGGGGATCAATAAAGGTCCATCTTCTTCTTCTTCTAGATCGTAGCTCATGTACCTGTACTCTGCTCCCCAGCCCTTGACGAAGCTCATCCTGATGGTGCACATCCTGGTGAGTTGGTAGACCGCCTCGAAGCCCTGATTGACCGACTGAGCCAGCAGTGCAGCAAACTCCTGGTTGTTAAAGATCTTCAGATTACAGCCTGATAACAGAGAAGGACAAAACAAAAGGAATAAAGCATCTATTTTAGAGGAGGCATGCAGATAGATAACACCTTCCTCCATCTTGATAAGAGAATAAGGGACAGAAAAACAACAAAATGGGACAATTATAGATTCATTACCTGATAAAATGTAGTAGGATGTAGTTCAAATGGCAGGAAAAATGATATGTGTTAAATGCTAAATATGTGTTTAATTAACATGTATAATAAAGTACTGTGTAGCTGCAGAGATATCCCAGCCTAGAAATTGTGTACGACAGACTTAACACATTTGTTTTGGTACAGATCTCTTTAAAATTCACAACATGATCATATTCATGTATTTTTCAATGATAATGACACAACATGATTAATTGTTAAGGACGCTCTGATCAAGGGACAATGTGCAGTCATATCCATTGCAGAAATAAGTCCGCTCAATTTAAAGTCAGTGGTCCAAAAACACATCCTCCATCAGAAAAACTCTGTGGAATACTTTTTGAATATTAATTTAGATATGTGTGGAGAGCACAAGACTTTGGATAAATGATGGCTGAACTGTCCTGTGTAAAGAAAAGAAAAGAAAAACAAGAAAACTGTGCAAGAGAAGGAAGGAGGTGAGAAGGAGTCTGAGAGCTGGACGACAGAGAAATCAGCAGAAGAAGACAGACAGGAAGTAAACACTGAGGGAACAGGGTATGGGCCATGCAGTGTTTAAAGACTGGTTAATGGAGAAGGAAATGTAAACAGCCTTGGACATTAACGCTCAGCATGTTATAGACCTGGTGGGATCTTGCAGACGGTGGCCGGGTGCCAGCCGTATCGCTGGTTGCAGTTTGGACTTTGGACGAAGATGGCGCTGTCGCTGAGGCACTCTGCGAACACTTCCCCCCCGATGTAATACAACCTCACACCTCGACCTGCAGAGGGATGGAGAGGGAGATGAGCAAAGATAAAAAGGGACAGAAAGAAAGGGATGTTAAGAAAAATATGACTGGATAGTATAGTTTCTTATTAACCAGCTTTTTAACTCACTGTTAAACCTTTTGAAAATGTCACATGTCCATGTAAATATCATTTATTTATGCAGAATGTTTTAAATTACCAATTTATTTTATATATATTTCTGTATACAATAAATAATGTATTTACTGTTTTTTTTATTATAATAATAATAACTGTTAAATTCATAATTTATTTTTTATTTAAATGTTTTGTTTATTAATATTATTATTTTAAATAAAATAAATATAACAGCAAATATGTTTATTAATTGAATGTATTGTTTTATTATTGTACTTTCTTTCTTATTTATTTGTATATTGCTGGAAAAAAGCCAAAATATATATTTGTCATATAACGCAAAAGATAAATTATAAAGAATAAGTACCTCAGATGATATCATGTTTATTTAGCAGTATAGCCACAACAAATAAATAATCATTTTAAAATAAATATTTGTACTACAGTATTTCCCAAAAGCCTTGGCATTTTATTATTCTAATAATCTATGAAGAATTTCCTGGGCTGTAATGCTAGAAGGAACTGATCTGTGTATATAATTACTGATACAGTGCGTTGGGGTGTAGAAGTGCGTTTGTTTGTACCTATATGTCTTCTTGTCATTTCAACAGTTGCGTTCCGGTTGACGTTGCTAAGCAGCCCGAGGCAGAAGCGTTCAGAGTTGGAGGGGTCGGTGAAGCCGTCGACTGTCAGAGACGGCTGCGAGGCGTGGAACGTCTCCCCCACCCGCTGGTTCAGCTCGTAGTACGCTATCGAGCACCAGAACGCTGGCTCGCTGTAGGTAACCGGCTGAAGGTCTGAAAAACAGAATCAAGAAGGGGACATTTGTACATGTCAAAAACTAAGACTGTTTTAGTTCGTACATTTCATAGCTTTTTCAGGCCTCCATTTCTGGATTTTAAAATCATGTTTCAATATGACAAATGGCAATGATTTCCCTCCCTATTAGAACTAGCTAGGCTCTACAATCTCTCACAAATAAAGGACTTTCCAGAGCTATCCATCCACTCCATTAGAAAACTGATATAGAGCAGTCTTACCCATGGCATTGCTGACAGGTGACAGGACGCCGGGTGACATTTCTGCTGGTGAACCTGGGAGAAAATAAAGAGAGAAGAAAGTTATTTACCATTCATCTGTATTACACTTGATGTGCAAATAGTGCTGCTACCGCTTGTCGTATTTATGTTCACTGCTGCAATGACGTACGTTTGTCAGCACAAAGAAATCAAAGTTTTGTTTGTTGATTTTAAATCAAGCCGCATGTCCACTAACACACAACTCGGTCTACCTGATTCCATACTTTGATTCATCAGTTGGTCGCTGTTCTCTCCATCTTCACTGATGTAGCCAGGTGGAGGAGTCTCTGCAAAAAAGAAAACGTAACAAACAAGCAATAAGAATACAGCAAAAACAACACACTGACGCAAACAGACTGAGGGCTCGGGCTGGCAATCTTACCTTTAATCACATATTGGATTCTAATTTAGTTGGTTTGTATGGCAGCTAGTATAAGAAGTGAATCAAAAAAGGAAAAAAATCCTGCATACAGACCTGGTATATAGTTATTAGGAGGGTCTATGCCGGCAGGGAAGTTGGTGTTTTCGGGGATGGAGTTTGTGAAGTCGTCTAGAGGAGGAAGCTCCGTCAGGATCTCCGTGTGGCGCGGCACCAACACGGGGGGCAGCACTGGAGAGATAAGGATGTGTCACTTACCGAGCAAATTGGATTTTGCTACACAAACCTACATTTTATATTTAAATTGACTTTTTTTTCCCTAGAGAAGTGTGCTCACGAGACAACATTCTGCTTCTTCAGCCATGTCGTTTTTAACCAATTTTACTAAGGAAAGTTTGGGATAAGGAAACTATTTTAGGTGCCTGACAAGTTTTCTTCAATATTTCAAGCTAGCAGAGACACATCATTCTCAAGGAGCATTACCAGGCGTCTCCACTCTCTGGTAGTGGTAGGGGTTGACACACACTTCGTCCTTTTTGAGGTTGAAGGCGAACTGGCAGGAGTCGATGGCCCTCAGCTCGTGGTGGCTGTGCAGGTCGGGCCATCTCCACAGGCGGCAGTAGATGACGTGAGGCAGGCCCTTGCGGTGGGACACCTGGAGACGCCCGTCCAGTGACCTGAGAAGATTGGGAGAGAGGACAGCTATAAGCTCAGAAGTGTGCCCAGTCCATGGCAGGAGACTATAAACCAGGAGGGATGCTTAAAGTTGTTTATGCTATCTTTAGTTGCTGGTTTTAGTGACAAGAAAGGCAACCGTCTGACACCAAGTGGGTTCATGACGTTGGTTATGTTTAGACCCGTCATGATTACTATTCCTTTTGGTACAGTAAGGGGCCGAACAGCACTGAATTCATTACTAAGAACATTCCTTTATTGCATGTAAGACACATTGTAAAATATTCTAAATAAAATAGAAACACAAAAGAAATGTCCTTTTGGTTTTGTTTACATGGACACGCACTTCAACGGAAAACCTTTTGTTTGTTTTAAGTAAACAATTATGCATACAAGTACATTTTCATATCTTTCATGATAAGCAAATTAAGGTATTATCGTAACAGGCCGTGACACTTTCAGATTGTTATCTAAAACTAATACCCTGCATAATAAACACTATCTTTCGTGCCCGTTTGTAAATCTAGCCTAAAACTCAACCTTATGGAAATCACAATTAAACTCGTTGTGATGTTATAAGTCACCAATACCGCCAGTTCATCTGCTTAGTCAGTGAACGCCACTTGTGTTTGATGTCATCGATTTTGGCTATTGCCACATACAATACGGCTCAATAATTGCATGTCTGCAAGATCTATGAAGCATCATTACACTATAAGCAATAATAAGGTTGTATTATGAGTTGCAATTAAAAAAGGATTAGTCTCAAAGTCTTTCCATGATTAAAATGATTAAAAATGGCAATACAGGTGAGTGTGTTGATATTGCACATTACAGAAAGACAGGTGATTAATGAATGAATGAAGGACAAGATGTCAAGTGACTCATTGTGTTTGGGGGGTGTGTGTGTTTGTATATTCACCTGCCGTGGTCAGGGTATCCGTACATGCCTGAAGAGTCCCACTGCTCTATCGTGTGGCCTGAGCCCAGACCCCATAGATCTGAGCAGTTACTACACACACACGCACACACACACAACATGCACACACACACACACACACACGCAGGACAGGTGAAAAAGGATAAAATATATATGAAAAAAGATGGTAAACATGAATCATTCCAAATTATTAGGATGAAATCACAAACATGTACAGTTGGTCTCTTATTGGCACAAAGAAGGAAATACAAAATCCACCTTTGCATTTTTTTAATAAGAGACGCTAACTGGATGACAGGTGATCATGTGACAAATGAAAAGACAGACAGAGATGTGGTGTAATCAGGTGATGCAAGTAGTGGTAGAAACGGATTGAATTGTGGTTGAATGTTTTTAGATGGTGGGTTTAAAGCTCGACCACTCTCACTGTCTTTCTCTACATAAAAAAGCAGTAGTAGTGATGTAACTATGGCGCAGAAGAAATCAAAGGGGTCCAATCGTGGCGTTTCAGATATAGGGGGAGTGTGGAGAGAAACTCCCTGTGGAGGGAACTTTGTGATGTTAGCCTTTGCAGACCATTTAAGCGCACAAAGACCTATTATAAACACACAACAGGAAACAGAAAACCCCAAAAGCATAATAGGGCCCCTTTAATCGTTTTTAGGTCTTTAAATAAGCTCCTTCAATACCTAAATATCTAAACTAAACATACACATTTCAGCTAATTATTACTTAGACATGACAAGTGTGATACACAACGATGACATGTGAATGAGCAAATAAAGAAGTTGAATGAACTATACAAGATGTCGAGACGTGATAACAGAAAGAACTGATACAAATGCGTCTACACCAGTGTGTGTTCAACACATCCATTCCAACTGTAGTTAATTGTCTTCATAGTTTTCTCAGTATGTTGAAAGAAGAGGAAAGGTTGCCGTCTCATCCGAGACAGATAATTGCCAGACCTGTCTGTACAAGACCTTTTAACTTGACACTTATCAGCGTACTCAAAGAGTTCTCCAACTTTAATCTCCAGACACAGCTATACATCCTTCCTCACCTAAGGGACGCCAGTCCAATCCTTACACTGGCTGCCTATCAAAAGCTTTTTGAGTAAGACTGTTGATCCTCATCTGCTCACCTACTATGGATCAAAGCTCAAACGCTAGAATGCAAGTCAAAGGGGTTCAGTTATCAGTTGATTATTTGTTAAACATCAAGGGAACATTTTCGTACCTAGAGCCTGTTTTAAAAACACGACATGTTTATCTCTTTCTGAGGCCATCGACATTTTTCCCGTCACGACTCAAAAAGCTGCCCATGCATGCTATCTCTACACTCGTTCGTTGAGCTGTTGCACTCTTCTTCCGTCTTGTTTATTTTTGCCTCCACTCAAAAAGAAATCTACAAAGCCCTACACCTGCTATCTCCTGGCCATCCTCCGTCACACACCGAAAGAAAGAAAAAGGACAACTTCAAGAGACAATTTATCTTAGACTTTCATCAACCTTACTTCTGTGTTCAAAGGGAAGTGAGCTGTGCATCAAAGGCCTGGAGTGCCATCTCCCGAAAACTGCTGAGCGCTGTAAAGTAATACATCCGGACCTAGGACTCAGAGGGGTTGCCCCTAACATGAAGCTACTTCAACCAAGCCAACGTCAACCTGTGAAGAATTACGGTAACAAAAAACTCTCAACTGTTTCTGGACTTCTATACTTCACTTAAACTCCCTAATTCCTATTTTTACCATCTGATGAACACGTACAATCTCTGTTTCATCACGGCCTATGGAATTAATATCACCTAACCAAACGGTGAGAGGAAACACTTGATCATGTGTTTCATTTATTTCTATACCAATGATTCACCAATTGGATTGGCACAAACATAACAAGTAGTGCAAAACAAGTTGGTGACTCATTGGGTTTAAAACTAACATAATGGGCCAAACCCTTAAAAAAAAGGGTTTCTTTCAAGAAGACAGTAGCAGTTCTTCAGTAAATGTGTAAGAAGAAGCAGCATCGCCTTATCAGAACCACTTCAGAGAGACTATCTAACCTACATTCCTCAGAGGCCTGGCATCCGGCACTTTAGCTTCACATGCTTCTACTTCTGCACTCTTTTTCCATTTTACCCATACAGCTGCAATTGACACCAGATTGTAGGTATACTGCATAGCGTACAGTATATAACCACCTATATGGGGATGTACAGTATGCTGCAGTGTCATCTGGGATCAATAGTTATAATTTATTCATTTGGTGTTATTCTAGAATTTCCTTGCTTTATACTTAAATGACAGAGCTTCACAACACTGCCGGTACGCGCTATTCCTAATTCTATTACTTTGTTACTAAGACATATAAAGTAGCTTGTTGTTGCAAAGTGTAAATCTAAGAAGCCCGGCAATGTGATTAGAGCTCAATGGCCTCAGCCAGCATCCGTACTGAGTGCACAGCTGAGAAACTATCCAGTAACAGAGGACATCACCACCCGATTTGGCGATAATCCTAGAGAATGAACCCTTGCACGTTAAAGGAAAAGTAAACACACGCAGGACATTATCACCGCCTCTGCTAACACTGCACCGGTTTGTTTGTCTGTCTTTCTTGTCACCTCTGATAAACACCTGTTTCACAAAGTGGGGGCAGAATCATGTCAATACAACGCTGGGAATCAAAATACATGAACATTGTTGTCCGACCAAATGCATACCGCATTTACAGAGATGGCTTTGTCAAAATAACTGGTAAACATTAAACGGTTGATTCCCACGTTCAAGAATCGTATTCTTCTGTGATAGACAAAGCCATTTATGCCATGTTGGAGTTGGGGCCCAATTCCAATCGGGTCCCTACACCCTTTCCCTACCCACTTATAATCTAAACCCTACACTAGGGGGTGGATTATAATTGGGCATACATCCCCATCAGCTCCAGGTGATTTTAGGGTTTAAGAAAAATACAATTTCTCGACAGAAACACATTATATTATTAATATGTCAATCAAAGGGAACTAAAAGAGGGTAGATTAGAAAGAAAATTGGAGAAGGGAAGCTCATCAAATCTTCACAGAGCAGAGAGGTTGATTGACGTTAATTACATGCTTCTCATGGGGCTCCCCTTGACTTTTCCACCTGTCATGGTAAGGTTTCACCTGGTCTGGTGACATGGCTCGTGTACCTTGTCATGCGACACAGGAGAAATCTATACTAAGAGACACATGACCTGTAACCCTTCAGGCTAAGAGTCTACAGAACGGGAGGACAACGTTTCTTTCAGAAGGAAAACATCATTATACAATATACTAAATACTTTGTTTTCTTTTAAGTTTGTTTCTTTTCCTTCTTGTACTAATGTAAAAACATGCTTTTTAAGGTCAAGGTGTCCCATTTTCAGAGAATATGTAGACGCGTACAGATAAAAGCTGTTTGTTTTCACTTTGCTCCTTCTTGAGAACCTTGGCAAAGAGACTCTCTACATTAAATGACTTCTTTACAATTGACTTTGTCTTATGTCTACAGCCTGTATCAGGTCCTAGACTTAGATGTGTTCATCATATATAGAACCGTGTTTGCCTTGATTTGTGCGTCTAGAGCAGCGGTTTTCAAAGTGTGAGGCGCGCCTCCCCTGGGGGGCGCCAGAGAGCTTCAGGGGAGGCGCAGCGTGAGAAAAAAATAAAGAGAAACAATGAAATCTAGCTCGTTAACTTCAGCTAACTTTATGCGAGCGGCAACATGGATCGATTTTTAGTGAAGTTACCTAAAGTGAGAGAGGAGACAGCGTCTGGCCAGCCCAGTTGGCAGCTTTGTTTTGAAATAAAAGTTGTGGCTCATCGGACATTTATCAGAGAAAATCCCTGATGTCCGAGTGCAAGTGAATGCAGCACAAGACGCGAGCCTTGTAACCCTGGCGCGAGCGAGGAAATGTGATTGGCGGCGATTTCATTTGAACGGGCGGCAGAAAACGAGAAGCATTCGGACCCAAGTACACGGAAGGAATAAGGTATTTGCGGTCTACAATGACAGAGAAGAGACTGTCAAGTTTGGCTGTGCTCAGCATTGAATCAAAACGCACTAAAGCTTTGGATGTTAATACGTTTGTGAGGCGTTTTGCTGAACAAGATGGTAATCGCCGCATTCAGCTGTAATAGGCATGCCAACTTGATGCTCTGCTCACGGATGACTCGAGCATTAAAAACTGTTAAGATGATGACCTTACGTGTGTACATATATTTTTTTCTTTGTGGGGGTCTGCCCTGAGAAAGTCAAATAAGATGGTGTGTAAAACTACACTGCCCAGACAAAAATAAGTAACCACTTTGATTTAACTAGGCCAGTAGGTAAGGGCATTCCACTGGATAATAATACCCCTGCATTATAGCAACAACAATAATAATAATAATAATAGCAATAATAATTGGGAGGGGGGGCGCGGCTGTTCTTATATTCTCTGAGGGGAGGCTCACCTTCCCACACTTTGAAAACCCCTGGTCTAGAGCATAGTCATGCAAAGCTGTCATCAGCCATTCAGATTAATTCGAAGTGTTTTTTTCTTCCTTACTTCAACATTTGGTTTCCTAACACTGCCTGAGAAATGCAACCATTCAGTTCTTTGTTCGCTTTAATTGCCAACCACAGGTGCACCGATGTAATTGATTCTGTTCTTTACTGGTTGAGGCACTAAGTGCTCTATTACATGGGGTGGCCAATGTCCAGCATAAATCAAACCACATTTATACTTAAATTGCATGCCATCAGTTAGACACATTCCAAATCCGCCTTTCACTAGAAGTCTACAACGCTGAAGAACATTTTTATTGAAGCCATTTTATCTAAACAAACTGAGTTTGCAGAAGGACACTAGCGCTGCTGAGAATTGGTGCATCTCCACACGTACCAATTGGAATGTATTCAGAACCATTTTAAGACCGATCATGACTGTTGGAGTCTAGGATAAACTCTCAAGTAATTTAGTCAATTTCTTATGATAGAATTCCCCTGAACTTATTATAATTAGCACCTTCCAATAAGCTGTGTCACCTATATAATCAACATAATGGGATGAAAGACAACGCTGGTACAAAGTTTGGCGGTTCAGAATGTTTGTAGCTGCAAAGAAAACACGGCGTAGGAGCCACCGGATCTTCAGCGAAAGGCACACGTTTCAGGCATATAGATAATGAGTCCTGGTTCATAAAGTTAACGTAGTTTGGCTGGCAACCCGTGTTGCAACATCTGTTTCCTCCAATCAGGTTTCACTTCTGCTGCCTTGCTAACCTATGGCTCGACAGAATGAGGAAGTGGACCTGCTGTTGCATCACAAACACTTTTCTTCCTGCAAGCCTGTGGTCGCATGTCACCCTCCTTCTGACTTTCATGTGTGTTGGCACACACCTCGCTGTGCTGATGGTATTGTGGTTCACCAGTGCCTGAGCATGACTTCCTAGATTCCAGATTCGTGAGAAAGTTCAACCGTCTGTTTTGAATTTTACATTTGTTTGTGTGTGTACTATGTCCAGGAACATGATGTGTATGATTGGGTTGGACAGTGTGTTAAACATAAATAACTTGACACATGGTTGTTACCATTTCCTATGACAATAGAGTGGTGCAGTTAAGAGTCCTAAACCCGGCAATGAGTTAGCAATTTAGCTCTTTTCCCTCGTGTTGAAGGCAGTTCTTTTAATGACTTTCTGGTTAGATGCATGAAATACGATCTGTGGTTAAAACAAGCTAACGTGTGAATGTCTGAAGCTTCTATGCGTCTTAAAAATGGTTGTTGCTAACAGGTGACTAAATTAGATTGCTAAACTTCATTGCGCCATTTAGCTAAGCAGGGACATTGACGTGGAATCATGCAAGCGTGATGTTGTTTGTTTACAGCTTTAGCCTAATACTTCTGGGGATTGCATTTACGCTACAGCACTTAAAAAAGTGTTGTGTCATTAACGTGTAAGTGCCATGGCCACAAAGCTTTTCATTCTTCTGAATCGAGTGGGGAAAATCACATTGCTTTTCTTCCGAGGGAATCCTTGCGATGCCAACTTCCGGGTCGGCGTACAAAAATACGATGGTCCAGAACCAGTCTATGACCATGTTGTGTGTGTATTATCATGTAAAAACAGAACCAGGGAAGATAGATATACCGGTTGTGTGTCTCACCTGGGTATGGTGACACACTTTGTGTTGCTGTTCTGCGTGCTGATGGCTTTCTCCAGCTCATCCAGCTGCCCAGTCTTCTTCAGCTTCTTCACCAAGCTCTTCACGGCCTTCTCACACCACTTCTCCTCCTGCCCTCCTCCGTTATGCTCCCCTACTCCTCCGATGCCTCCTCCTGCTCCTCCACTCCCCGTAGGAGTCTTCTTCCATCCCAGGAGGCGCTTCACTACCGGGGGAGTGAAGGGAAGGATGGAGGACATGGTGGCTATGTGTGTGTGTTTGAAATGTGTTTTGATGCTCCTTTTAATCTGACGTAAAGAGAAAAGGGAGAGGGGAAGTAGGTGTCCTACTGGATATTTATTTTATTTATGTACTTCTTGTAGTCAGAACTAAGGCATTGGTCTTGAGGAGTCTTGGGAAACATCACATGGAAAGTGTTCGGTGAGTACATCTAAAGAAACCTAAGAAACAGAGGGGAGGAAAGAGAAAGGACACGTCAACGTTTGTGAACACAAAGAGTAAGATGGTTTGGAAGATTAAAAGTCTTATTGCATGACATTATCTTCTGAAGTGATGACATGAATTATGCCCACACATCTAGACTCCTGAACAGCTTTCTTTGCCCAGAGTGATATCCGTCATAGCCCCCCCTACTGCTACCTCTCCCACCATGTACGACCTGTATGCTGTACTGTAAGAACTACAATCTAGTATTGTGCAATAGTCTTTGGTGCTTTTCAATCATAACAACAATATTTAGGCTGTTATATCTTTCCACCTTGCAAAACCATTTGAACTTTTACATACTTTAAAAAACAGAACCATTTTTAAAAATGGCATTTTTTGGACTGGCCAATAGTTGCCTACATATTGTATATCTTACCAGAAGTAGGATACATTTAAACATATACATGCCTCGAGTTGAGCCACTATATTTATTAGGGGGTTTATGTAGCATATTATCGCAAAATCTTTCTTTGCATTAGAGTATTGATATACAGACGCGTATAAATTGATATATAAAACAGATGTTCAAAGTAGTAATTTAAACGCAATATACGGTCTCAATACTGAGCCTTTAACAACACGTTAAACATCATTGTGACTTACGTATTGTGATGACATTGTTTCATGAGGCCTCAACGCTATTATTATTATTATAAATACATAGAAATAAATTAGAATGACTTTGATAGTCTCAACCTAAATAAAATGTTATATTTATAGGCCTGTATTGAACGTAATAAAGTAACAATTCTGATAACTTTCATGATTGTTATACATAAACAATTTTTTTTAAAGTAGCAATGGATAAAAGTGAGACAAATATCACGCATCATCAAGCAATCTATTACCATATATTCCAGACTTTTAAGGCCAGTTACCAACTCATCAAAAACTCATTTGAAAACCATCTTAGTATCTTAATAATTATTGATTTCACTCCGAATGGCAGGCAGTGGATGACCCTGTGCTACATTGTATCGCTTCTTTATTTTGTCAACCTTAAACAACTCAACTAAAGCATCTTCTTTTCTACAGAGAGGAATGTATGTATGAGGTGACAGAGCTATGTCGATATCTGTACTAATCCTATGCTAATCCTGTAGTAAACCCTTATATTGAAACCAACCAGTGTTTCCCCTCACACTAAAGCCGAGCGAACTGTGATAAACCCAGGTCAGGAGCAGGTGAACCATCTAAAGATTTAAATCCAAATTAGTAAGGCAACTGTGCTGAAAAAACTAAAAATGTTGAATTCAGTGGCCACAACAGACAGGAAATAGTTGGAAATTGGCACCGACGCAAGATCTGGTTTGCCTATGTAACCTTATCCTATTTTATAGCAATGCATGGATCCATTTGTTTTAAACTTATCAGGAAACAGATGCTCTGACAGGGCAAATACAGGAGGAAAATAAAGAGAACACTTTAATCGAACAGTCAAATTGAATTTGAAAACATGGACCTTAGGTTCTCCTAAGGAAGAAACACTGGTGCACCATTTTATTCTAATCTATTCTACTCGGTTTCTTCTTGCACTTATTTTTATTATATATATTTTGTTGTTGTTGTTGTTGTTGTTGTATTGTTTATGTCCTATATAACTATGTTGCAATGTTGGAGGAGCTTGGGAATTAAGATTTGCATTGCCATTCCTACACTGTAGCTACTGTGCATGTGGCAATAAAGCCTTCAATCCTTGAAAAAAAGGGTGTTGTGTGAGTATATTAGCAAAGCAGATTATTGTTTGATTAGACTTAAATAAAACAAACAGTGTTGCAGATATTTAAACTTAGCTCTCTGGGTGGAAATGGATAACTGTTCTTAGCATGTTACACCGAAAGTCCAAGCTCCTTCTAAGAATTTATTTCACAGGCTTAACCCTTGGACTGCTTACTATTAGTGCAAGAGTATGTATGGCTTCCAGAATGACTCATACGATTCCTGAAAATAATTAACTACAATCTTAAGTACCTGCAGTTGCTTTTTATTGTCAAAACATTCAAGCCTGCTGTCCATTAACTGCTTCAGGGAGAAGGCTTTGATGCCAGAATCAAAGAAGGCTGGAAAAACACAAGTTAAAAGCTCTACGTTTGAACCCTAATTGGGGTAATTGAAAAGTGATTGTGTAGCTAAACATAAAAGAAGGAGTGTTATTATTAATTTTGCTAAGGGCTGATACACAAAGAATAAACTCCTAAAACAACAAAAAAAGGGGTCCCAGAGACAAAACCATGTCGTGTGTGGGAGCCGTTCAAACTGAACAGAATGTCTTCATAATGTAAGGAACAAAAAGCACAAAACGTGCTCTTGTTGCCACAATGTCGCCGATTTGTCTGCTCAAAATGCTGGACCACCGTTATCAGGGCCTTGTGGGCAAAATAAGCAACGTTATTTTGTCTGCACGGTCTTGCTTTTTGTGTGAGAAACTGTGTGTTTGGGTTACTTCTTCTCCCAAACCATACACATAACACACACACGGCTTAAGAATAAGCTAACGCTACTAGCGGCGATTCAACTAAATAGCCAGCGCATGGAGACTTTGACAATCTACAAAAAAAGCGAGTTAATTTCACTCCCTTGTGACATATGCTGTGAGCTACAGTGAAAATATGCAGGTTTCTTTTGTCTCGAAATGACTGATAGCCCCCCTCATATCTCCTCCTCCCCTCGCCTCCAAAAAAGAGTGCAAAAAAAATCCGCTAGCAAGCTTGCTACTTTGTGTCACAGACAAATAAACAGCTCTGTTGCATGTTTTGTCGCTTACAAATCATATCGGTTTCTTTGTTAAACACACACTCACCCCACGAGGAGATGAAGGGGCGCCAAACGGTGTCTCAGGTACCTGTCAGAAAAGCCTGCTTGTTCATTTTAAACACATCCAGAGAGACTTTAAACTGTATTTTCCACCTCCGAGCCGCCGGGATGATGGCCCCTCATTCAAAGCTCAACCAAACATGTATCGCTTCACGCTAAACATGAACGGCAGCACGACGCCACCATATCCCGCCTCCTCCCGCTTCCTATTGGCTGTTTCCCGGGGTTCAGCCGATAACCTGTTGCCAGACGCGTGTTCTATTGGCTTGAACTCGTGTCTTTTATATGTTGTCACGTACGAAGGTATGTCGGTGATGTTTATCAGTGGGTACCTTCATTATCCTTTTATAATTGCATAACAATGTAGTTAGTCCATAGAATAGAATAAAATGTAATACAACCAAGAAAATGCCTTCTTTAAAAACTCGTTGGACTTGAACGTAAAGTGAAAAGATTTAGCTTTAAAACACAACCAAGACTATGGTAATTATGACAAACAATATAACCGGTGAAGTTAGTTTTAGGTTGGCTATTCGACAGACATTCGCGGACCAGCCATCAGCGTCAGTTTCCCCTGCTGCTGGCTGTATTACGACGGCGAGATCTTCTCCACGAAACTAGGCTTTCAGTTAGGGACCATCAACAAATGACTTTTCAATTACACAAGAACAATGTTCTTTTGAATAAATCGACAGCTTCCCGATCGTGTGAATATGAAACAAATCCACTCTAGAGCATACATTTGTTGAACACACCTATTTGTATTGCATTTGAATACTTTAAATATTTTATATTCATATTTTGATGGAAAAATGTGCTTATTTCTTCAATAACTTCCAGGTCATGTGACATAATCACTCAAAAGCAGGGCCTGGTCAAATAACTACACTTGCTGCTTAGGACAAACCTATTTTAATTGCATTGTAATACTCTAAATATTTTTATTTTAATAATTTTATGGGGAAATTAGCATATTGCTTCAATAGAGGCCTACATGTATGTTTTGCCAGTTACCCAACTCTTTTGTGGGTTATCCACCGGGTATCCGAGGAAACCCGACCCGGTGCAGGACTCTGCTCTGGGGCTCATCAAAGTTATTTTTTAACAGTACCTGCTTGATGCACCTCAGCCCGGACTGCACGTCGGTCTTCACCCCAGATGACCCTCAACCACTTAAGATGATCTTTGTTATTACTTTTAAACACCGTAAGTGTAACTGAGGACCACTGCTCAGGTGTAACATTAACTTCACTAAAACCATGAGAAATGAAAGACCTGGTGATGAAATCTCTACCCCCTGCTTCTTGCCAGAGGTCTAAAGCTTTATTTTTCTTGCCTTTTTTGAAGCGCACCATTTTTAGATCAAACTATGTGATCTGGTTTCGAAAATGGCTTCTATGTCACATGACAGAGAAGCTGTTAAAACAAAATTCAGTGTGACATTAGGTCACATGAACGTGAAGCCATTGAAAAAATAAACTGAATATTCCATAAAAATATTAATATATAATAGAGGAAGTACTAGAATCCAATATAAAGAGGTGTGTCTATTGTGTACAGACTAGTATTCAATCCAGAAAGTGATTTGAAGACATTCGGTCACATGACAGAGAAGCTATTGAAAAGATAGAGGAAGTACTAGAATCCAATCTAAAGAGCTGTGTAGTATACAATTCAAAAAGTGATTTGAAGACATTCGGTCACATGACAGAGAAGCCATTGAAAAAAGAAACGGAATATTCCATACAAATATTAATATTAAAGGTCCCATGTCATGGCCATTTCTACTGATCATAATTCCATTGTTGAGGTATACTAGAATAGATTTATACTGCACAATTTTCCACACTCACATTGGTTTCTCATACAGCATCTCTGTATAGTATGTGTATTCACTCTCTGTCCTAAACGGCTTGTTGGAGCTCCTGCCCCCCCCCCCCCCCCCCCCCCCCCCCCCTCCCTGTGAGCCCAGTGTGCTCCGATTGGTCAGCTCGGCCACTCTGTTCTGATTAGTTAACCACCAGAGAGGCTCCGCCCATGTCTAACACAGTGCTTTTTCCGGCTCTGAGCGGAACATCAGTTTTACAATGGCGTCGGTACAGCCGTATATGTTATACGCTAACTAACCGAACTGTACCTACAACTGTTGTTATTTAGGTGCACTTGTGGAAACTGCGCCATGATGCCTACCGAAGTGGAAAACGTCTGTTGCAAAGAAATTAGAAAGGTAGCCTAGCTGACAGTTACAACATTATGTAGCCAGCTAGCTGAAAACACCAACAGTAGCACACAACATTATATATACACCATACATACCCCACACCCTGCAGAACCTCCATAACATGTACAGATTCGATTATAGACCTTTGAGGCGTAGAACGGAGGAAGAGTAAGTTATATTTACCTGTAATAAACTACTACTGTGTTTGATGAAAAATCAAATCATGGTTTGCTATATATGTATGATATGTTATAGGAGCAAATAATTCAGGGAAGAAAGGCTACTAAGTATTTCCATCAAACTTTATTTTTAGAAATGTACAAAATGAACATGTGTAAATATACATATATACACTGTATATCATCCATTCCTCCCCTTATAGGCGTTTTTGGCATCTTGCCTATCGCAGCTTTGTAAGCTGGTGCTGGGGCTTTTTAAGACGAGGCATCAGAGTGGTCATCCCGTCATGTGTTGCCACGGCCGATTCAACATGTTGAATCGGCCGTGCGTCGGCCATGAAAAGCCAAATAAGGCGTGTCACGGCCGACGGTGCGGGACACACCAAATTGAGTTTGGGCGACAGGGCACGCTTCGTCGTCCGACTAACGAAAACGGCCGATTTCGGCCTGGTGTGTCAGGGCCTTAAGGCCATCTGCTGACATTGGAGTTGATGTATGGAAACGCTAGCAACTTAGTTAGCCCAGTTAGCACTGTGTCAATGGCTTAGCAGCCCGAAAAACGTTTACCCATTTAAACAGTCGTGTAGATACCTTGTTTGTTTTAAACATCATAAATACACAAACAACAATGAATACTTACAGGTTGTGTACCCGAATCCCCCGCTGGTCCAAACAAAGTAGGAACAGCATCGTCCTTCAGTGTCCTACGCTGTGCATATCCGGCATGAATCGCTGCAATGTTTGCGAAAGCTTTGGTCCGTGAAATGCCGCGCACACAGTACAATACCGGCTCGAACATCTGAAGGAACAGTGTTAACAAGAAATGTCAACCACTGACTTCGTCGTGGTTCTGCCCTCGATAAGGCATACATTGAAGATTTCCCCTCACAAGACAGGAAACAGACCCTCGTTGGCATGACTGGATACAGTTTTGAACTGAACCTGAGCTTCCAACAGTATATATGTTCGGCTGGCAGAGGGTGCGGCCATAGCTCTGGGCGTGGCTACTGGATCCTACGTCACGATACCCAGGAAGAAAACATTGGAAAATGAGAAATCTCGAACGAGGCGTTTTGGGGAGGTCATAACTCTGTGTTAGAGTTTTACTCGCTACAGGGTGTACTTTGAGGGTTTTTGACTCTGCAGACCGTTTACATGCATAAAAACCTTCATAACACACAAGGGGACGGGTAATAACCGCATGAAAAAAAGCATGACATGGGACCTTTAAATAGAGGAAGTACTAGAATCCAATATAAAGAGGTGTGTCAATAGAGTGGTACAGGGATGACGTATTTTTGTAGGCAGAAATAAACTGCGCATGGGTTCCCTCGACAAAAAAGGAATGGGATTTCTCCATAGGATTTTGGAAAATACTTCGAAATAAGGTCTGTGGAAAACAAACCTGTTTGATAAATGCACGTTTTGTTCAGCCGGATAATATCCACATGTCTACCCTACTTTTATAATTTTCTAATCATAAATCTAATCGCCAGAAGCAAAATGCTAACGTTATGCTATAAACGAACTACAGCAGGGTCGCACAACTTCAACATCACGCCAACTTAAAAGTCCCATGTCATGGCCATTTCTACTGATCATAATTCCATTGTTGAGGTATACTAAAATAGATTTATACTGTGCAATTTTCCAAACTCACATTGGTTTCTCATACAGCATCTCTGTAAAGTATGTGTATTCACCGGTATTCACTCTGTCCTAAATGGCTTGTTGGAGCTCCTGCCCCCCCCCCTCCCTGTGAGCCCAGTGTGCTCTGATTGGTCGGGACGTTGAGAGGCTCGTTGCTGCTCGCAGCTGCTGCGAGCTGCTGCGAGGAGCAGACAGGCTTCCGTGTCGGCGATACAGCGAGAACAAGCAAAACTCATCCTGAGCACACAAAAACACTCACAGCCGAAGTAAAAACAATAAGTGTGGCTTGATATTGAGTAAGAAAAAGGTTTATAACGCGGAGAGCATTTCTCCGCGATCCCAACGTAGTAGCCCGAAAAACGTTTACCCATTTAAACAGTCGTGGTAGATACCTTGTTTGTTTTAAACATCATAAATACACAAACAACAATGAATACTTACAGGTTGTGTACCCGAATCTCCCGCTGGTCCAAACAAAGTAGGAACAGCATCATTCTTCAGTGCCCTACGCTGTACATATCCGGCATGAATCGCTAAAAGGTTTGGGAAGCTTTGTTTCGTGAAAGGCTGGCAGAGGGTGTGGCCTCTGGGTATCCCCACGTCAGAGTACCCAGGAAGTAAACAATGGAAAATGAGAAATCTCCAACGAGGCGTTTTGGGGCAGCATAGACTGTGTTAAGGCCCTGACACACCAGGCAGTCACCAGAGAACTCGCCGACACCGACACTGACAGTTCCATCGACGAGTTCTCCTGCGTCTTGGCCATGTGTCGCACTGGAAATCACCGCAAAGACTTCAGCCGAGCACGTACGAACTGCGCATGCGTGAGTGGCAATAACTCTCCTTACCAGCAGGCGGCGGTAGTGTGTATTCGTCATTCAAAATAGGCAACAACCGGAAGACAGAGAAGAAGAACAGACTGATATAAACAAACAAATAGCGTGTGCGTTCCATTTTCACTCTCGTCCATCGAAAACATGTTTTAGAATATAAAAATACATGAATGATGAAATGAGCACATAAAGTGCAGACATACTATAAAATCACATTTAATAGATCTGCATCTGATGATCGCAGTGTTCTGGCGGGTGTGTAGTTTATTGA